GTCCGACTTCAGCCAGGTCACGATCTCGCGGTCCGTGAGTTCGAGCCCCGCGTCAGGCTCTGGGCTGATGGCTCGGAGCCTGGAGCCTGTTTCCGATTCTGTGTCTCCCTCTCTCTCTGCCCCTCCCCCATTCATGCTCTGTCTCTCTCTGTCCCAAAAATAAATAAAAAATGTTGAAAAAAAAATTAAAATTAGACAAGACAATTTAAAGAACAGGGTGGGGAGGTAGTGGGAATGTTTCTCTACCAAATAATGAAGACTCACTATAAAACTAGATAATTGGTGGGGGACAGACTGGACCAGAGAGCCAGGTATGTATGAGAAAGATGGCACCTTGGACACATTGGGCCAGCACGGCATCCTGAACCTGATGCTGGCAGGTCCGTGCCCCGTGGGAAAAGGTAAGATGGGATCCTCTACTGGTTAGGGCAGAATAGGTCACACTGTGGAAAACACAAGCCCCCAAACTCAGAAGCTCCACACATCAGATTACATGTCCAGCACAGGTGGGCGGAGGAGCCCTGCTCATCACTGGCCATCTGATGGCCACAGCAGAGCCACGCCATTAGTTATAAGCTAACTCAAGAGTCGATGTAAAAGGTAAAACATTAAAACTGGGAAGTATAGGGTAATGTCTGTACCTTCAGGTACACAAAGATTTCTGAAAGAAGAAGAAAAAGTTCCCAGACGTTATTGGGCATATCCTGCTGCCATGGCCTGGAGGGGCTCTGCACCTCAGCACTCAGCGATGCTCAAAGGGTGCTCACCACAACACTGTCTGCAATAGCAAAAATGAAAAACAAGAAATCCATCTTGGCCATTATTATGGGCAAATAGTGCTTCCCCCTCCCCCCACCCCCAAATTCACACTGAAGTTCTGACCACCACTACCTCAGAGGGTGACTCTATTAGGAGACAGGGTCTTCAAAGACGTAATTAAGGTTAAATGAGGTCATATGGGTGGCCTCTAATCCCACATGACTAGTGTCCTTATAAGATGGAGTTAGAGCACAGACGGACAACCATTTGAGGACACAGGGATAAGATGGCCATCATAAGTCAAGGGGACAGACCTCAGGAGAAACAACTCTGCCAACACCTTGATCTTGGGCTTCCAGCCTCCAGAACCGTGAGGAATACATTCTGTAGTTTAAGCCATGCAGCCTTAGTAAACAGGCATCTTCCCGTGGGTATTGACAAAGGCTGGCCCTACTTCGGTGATGGCTGCACCACTGAGCGTCCTGTTCATCTTCTCCATGCTGACGGCCCCACCTCACGGGGGGATTAGCTGCTTATCCCTTGAACTTAGGTGTGGTTTGGCAGCTTCCTTTGGGCATGGGAATGGAAAAGGAGGGACAAGTATCACTTGTGGTTCGCTGTGGTCTTTCCCTTGCCTTCGTGGTTTTGGAAAAATGGGTCCAGTGAGCTCCTGTCAACATGGTTCCTTTGTAACAGGCAGAGGGCACCCCAGCTGATCTGTGACAGGTAAGTGGTGAGATGTGGGAGGTTTTTACTGCAGCACAATCTGGCCCATCCTGATTGTTATGACAGGACAACAGCTCTATTTACGTTGTTCCTCACTATAGGACCATGGGGCTGTTTGCAGTTCTGCTGTTAATGCAGTGACTGCCCACTAGGCAGTCAACAGGGCTCAGACCACTGCGTGGGTTTTATCTGAATCCTCCCACTACCCTATGAGGTCAGGTGACAGCAAGGACCATGAGTTTGCAAGTGGAGCTCAAGTCCATGCTCTGAAGCCCTACACCAAGGAATACACAACAGCCATCTGCGTGTAGGCAAGTGATCAGGGTCTGCACACTTAGAAATGTTATGTGGGTGAATTGTAGTATTGTAGTATTTGATATTCTCACCAACAAGAAAAAGCCTATTTCTCCATGTCCTCCACAATTCTGGATATCTAGAACTTTTAAAGTCCTGGATCACAGGCAGAAAAAAAAAAAATCACCATACTTCCCTGTAGTACTTTTATGATTTTTCAAATACTGAAATCTTTAGTCCATCTGGAGTAGAGCCTGGCAGAGTGAGGTGGGTATCCAGTTTTACCATTTTCCAGATGGCTAACCAGTTGTTCCAACTCCTTTTAGTGAATAATCCATTTCAGCCCCATTAATTTGAAACAATACCTTTAAGCATGAACTAAATTCCTGCATTTATTTGGCTTTATTTCAAAGTTCTCTATTCTTCTCTGTTCGTCCATCCACACCAAATTTCAAGTAACTTCACTGCTGCAGCTTTATAAAAAGTTCTGTATCTCATAGGACCTTATCCTTAATACTTCTGGTGTTAAAGTTTTCCTTGGAGACATGTATGTTAAAAACCCTTCCACAGAGCTCACAAATATCCTATCTTTAGGAAATAAAATCTCCAGGTATTTCCAAGGCAAGTAAAGGACAGACCTGATGATCTGGTAGGTAGACCCAAGCACATCAGCTGGACCCTGAACATATCCAGCAAACACTTTCAGACTGTCCTGCACCCAGGAGCACCTTCCTCCATCTCCCATGTGAGAGCCAGGAGTGGCGAATGGCCCAAGGATCCTCCTCTCATCATGCATGGCAGGGCCTTCTCCTTCTCCCCGCTCAGAATGGGAAAGGAGCTAGGTCACTGCATATGGCCAAAGACGGCACAGCATTGGCTGGCAGTGAAACTATCACTTTGCAATACCATATGCACTGCCTATCTACAAGGCCAGGCCAGAGCCCTCCCACCCTCTCCTGATCCCACCCTCACGTGGCCATTGCCATTGAGACCCTGACCTCCTTTCTTTTCCTTTGTGGCAAGGGCTCAATCACAACAGGAGACATTTTCCAAATTAAAACATAGGTCACCTAGGCTCTCCACACATCCTCTTGGGCCTGCGTTAGGAGAGGTGGCCCTCAGGAGAGGTATGCCAGACTATAAACCAAGCTTGCAGAAGCTGTCTGGGGCCCAAGGGAGAAAAGGTCCACAGGGCCAGAGGGGCCAAAGGAAAATGGCAATCTTGAGCTGACGGGATTCATTTCAGGTCCACTAAATGTAGATGAGAAAGGTGGCCTGCGCAGATGCCAGCAATAGTGCGGGCGTCAACTAAGTGACTCGGCCATCATCCCAGAGAGCAACTCCAGGTTCTACTGTCAGAGGTATCTTACCAGCTCAAACAATATCGCCAACAATATCAGACCCATTGGCAGGCCAGGGAGTGGGAAGCAGTCTGACCTGGGTCTACAAAAGGAGGGTCCAGACATGAGCAATAGTAGAGGGGCAGCAGTGTATCTGGGGCTGGGCTACAATGTGCAGGGATTTCCCACACTTGATCAGAACCAGGCTGCACAGTCATTTCTTCTGTGGGCTTGCTTGTTTGCTTTTCAGGTTGTATCAGCTTCCCACCTATTTCTAAGATTTTCAACTGTTTTATTTACAAGCCAACTGTGCCTTAAAATAGCTCACGCTTAAAACCATGTGAACCCAGAGCCTTTTAAAGTGATAATTACTAAATAATCCCAATGGTGTCTATTTTACTTAAAAATTTTTACCAGATGTTTGCTTACTACTGTTTTTTCTCTAAAATAGTTTTAGTAGCAGTTCATGCTTCCACTTTATTTGTTCTTCCTACTTTCCTGGAAAAGTGTTGTTTCCAGCTGTAAAACTAAAGGGGCTTGACACTCTTGCCTAACTGTTCATCAGAGTAGGTGCACTGTACCCATCCTGTGTTAAACTTGGCTTGAGGGAGCTTCTGAGCTCAGTTCTCATTATTAGAAAACCCATCCTGTGCAGAACGGATCTTTCTTCATTCCAATCCTGTGGCCCCTTGGCCTCACAGCTCTGGTCTGCTTCCTGCTCCTTCACTCCAGCTCTAGGAAGTCAGTTTTCAAGGCCACATTCCACCTGCCAAGACTCCCATTCCCACCTATTCAGCCCAACTCCTTCCTTCAACCAGATCCTTTGATTTTCAAAGCCCCACCCACCAGAAACCTGCAACACTGAACCTAGAGTGCTCATGGCTAGGGCCTAGCCTGTTCTCAACAGAACAGACAACAGTGCTTCTGCCAACAAAATAAGGGCTCTGCTCATCAGCTACCACCACACCACAGGATCAGCCATGGATTTAACATGTTTAATGAGCACCAGTTGTGTACCAGGGACACAAAGCTGATTAGGATGGAGCTCCTGCCCTAGAGGCTCACAATCTACCCAAAGATACAAGTCATTTATAGTGTTATGGTTTAAGTGTTGAGTCAGCAATGCCCAACAGTGGGCAGGGAGGCAGGGAATACTGAATAGCAGAAAGTGGGAAGGCAACAATGGGCAAAGGCACTGAGACACAGAAATTCATACCAACTTCTGAAAACACCAGGTGTTAACTACAATGTTAATATACAGAAGGGGGAAATGCTTGGAACTTAGTTAAGACTGGCAAGGAGGCTTGTATCCCATCTCCCTAGCTGTCCCAGGCTGCTGGTATACCCATAGGGAAGCATCTTTCTCTGCCATCCCACTAGTACTAAATGATCAAAGTGGCCACTTCCTCCATGCAGCCTTCCTTAAATTCTAGCCCAGAGGACAAAGGTCACAGAGAGCCAAGATGGGGAAGGGGGCCTAAGTACAGATACCATCCAGGGACAGATCTAAACAGGGCTGGCATGGCAGACCCAGTCCAGTCTAGCCAACACTGAATGAGGGATCTGGGGAGGGGGTGGTTATGAAGACATACAGATATCTGAATGGGGACTGCTGTATGGAACTCTGTCCAACTAATGGCAATGCAGCTGGCAATGCACAGGGAGGCAGCCTCTGGGTGACTGGAGAAGTCAGAGAATGAGGAGCACATGGTAGAGCCCAATATTCTGCTATAAGAGGAGGTGGGATGGTGAGGACAAGGGGGCTGTCTGTGTTCAGACAGGGCAGAGCCCAAACAGGTGCACCTCCAATAAAGCAATAAAACAAGTGGCCCAGCAATAAAGCAAGTGGATAAGGCAATACCTGGCACACTATGGCTACAGTCATCTGGCAATGCCACTCTGTCCTGCTGGGGCACTGTGGGGCTTTTCAGCTATGCAGGCCACTTCATCACAAGGGGCACTACTGAATCTGCCTGGACTGTGTTCAGAATCCAGGGCTGTGGGGTAGGGAGCAAGAGAAACTGCTAGCTCTCTTGGGGTCTCTGGGGTGTCTGCAACCTGCTGAGGGGTACTTAAGGATGCCTTCTGGTCTCCCTCTGTCTTAGAAACTTCCTCCTTTGTCTTCTGGGTTTCTGGACCCTGGCGGAACTGGATCTGGTTTCTGGGTAGGCGGGTTACAGATCCTGAAAGTGCAGGGACAGGTGTGGGGACCGCCTACCCTGGCTGGGATGAGGCTGGCCTCACAGGACCAGCATCAGCCCTGCATGCGGAACTAGACAAGGTGAGGGACTCCACAGACCCAAGGCTGCTCTCCTTGGCCAGCTGCTACTCAGGGAGACCATTTCTGGATGTAGAGTTGGAAGTATAAACAGCAAAGGTGGCCACAGCAACTGGGACAGCACCCACGTTGAATGCCAGGACCTCCGAATACCTAGCTAAGTACTGCCTCACCACAGGCAGCTGCGGGGCCACTGGTGACTGACTTAAGGCAGGGGCCAGGGGGCAAGGCGCTGCAGCATGGTACTCAGCAAAACTGTTCAGGTCTTGAATGACATCCTCGAAATCCTGGCAGAAGAGCTCATAATCGTCAGGAAGGGGCAGGTCCCCGACGAGGTAGGGGGGGTGCTCATGCCCGGGCTTGGCCGGTCGGGTGCCCAAGGATCTCACAGACGTGACTGAGGTTGTCCTGACAGTTCTCAAAGCAAAACGACATGTAATCACCCAACTGAGCCCAAAATCGGTCCACAAGCCATGGGGAGTCATCAAAGGTGCCTGGGTCCAAGCTTGGCACCTAGTAGAAGTCCACGCTGAGGGGCCATGGGCTGGGCATGCACAGAGCCAGGGGTCCCCTTTCTGTGAGCTTACCACCAGGAGCACTGCTGGCTGTGCTCTTCTGCTCCATGGTCGTATGCACGCATACGGGGTCCCCACAGCAGGGCCACTCAATCCAGGGATCCACTAGGGGGGCATATGTGACCCCATGAGAGACCTGGTCCATCTGCTGCCAAGGGTGTGTGTTGGCAAAACTGGCTGCTGCTGGGATGGGATTGCAAGGGCCGTGCCGATGGCGCCAGCAACAGGGCATGCTGGGAGCAGAGGGGAGCTGCCACACCAACTAGAAGAGGAAGGGGGAAGAAAGGAAGAGATGGTGCAGTGGGGAGGGTGGGCAGGACACAGCAGGACAGAGATGGGCTGAAGAGGTGTCTGGCAAACCCAGATGTTCCAGGCAAGTGCTGAGGGTCAGAGGAGCTGACAGCTGTGGCCTCAGGAGAGCTGAGAAGAGCTGATGGGACAGTCAGATGCAGGCCACCATCCAAGGCAATCCTGTCCAAAAACAAGGTGGGGAAGAGCGGGAACTAGGCCCAACCATCTCCACCGTGCAGCAAAAGGAGGCAATACGCAGGCAAACCCCAGGTACCCCACTAGGAGCTGTGACTGGAAGGAGGGCCCAAGAGGCAGGCCTGAGAGGCCTGAGAAGGTGGGCAAATGCCACCTGTGATGTTTCATGGGCAAGGTGTGATGGCAGATGCTATCAGTCCCAGGAAAAGGAAAAGGGGCCAGATCAGAAGCCCCTGGGCTTCCTTGGACAGCCTGGCTGGCTGTCAGGGATTTTCAGAAGAACAACAAAAGCAACCTTTAACTGAGTGCTCTATCTATGGCAAACACTGACCCCTTGATGAGGCTGATACTCTTATCGTACCAGAGGCAAAGTGGTGAGTGAAGTCACTTGTCTGCAGCCACACACCAATCAGTAAGTGACCGAGGCAGGTGAACCTGGCTCTAAAGACCATATGATTAACCACCACACATCACCATGCTAGTTATGAACTATGTTTCAATCCACTGAGAAGGAGCCCCCAGTCACCCCAAACACTGTGAGCGTTAAGTAAGCAGACCAGGTCACAAGATTCTTTTACATCAAAGCACTAAGAGCTTGGAAGGGGCTACCTGCATGCCAGACAGAAGCCTGGGGTCCCACTATTCTCTGGTGCCCACCAGCCTCTCTACCCATGCTTTCCAGACTTACCTCACCACTCAGAGTCCAGCGTGCTGACAACACCACCCTCATCCTAAACACCACCTCCCTGTCCTCATCCTTGTCAACAGCACAGGATCCAATCCCTCAAGTTTAATCTCACTCGCTGTGTCTTCTTTCACCACCTCAAAGTCACTCCAGTAAAGGGCCTGGAGGGCAGTGGTCATCAACCCTGAGCAGTCCAAAGAGCCCTGAAGTGGGAAAGGAGGCTGCAACCATCACCAAGTACAGTTCCCTTCCAATGCCAGGAGCCCTCTCTCAGGGCTCTCCCACTGCCTAACCTGACAGTGGCCACTTCCCAAGTATCTCTGCAAAGGGAGGTCCACTCACAGCTGCCACAGAACACACTCTGCAACCCCTCCACACATATCCCAATGTTCCATCTGCTCACATCCAGGGGCACCACGGTCTGGACACACCTTTGTGCACAGTTGCCTATGTGTTTATCTACCCCTGCCCCCATCAGAGTGAGTTCCTCCAGGGAGACACAGCTCTGCTGATCTTTCTGCTGAGCACCTCCCAGGGTGGCCTGCAGCATCTGAAGCTGCTAGGGCCACCAGCACCTACTTCTGCCACCTAAGCATTCAGGAACCTCTCAGGTATGGCCCCCACTCTGGGGGATGATTCTTCCACCTGAAAGCCTTCCCATCCTAACAGAGAAAAACAATATAACAGAGCCTGCCAGCAGCAGTGGCTCAAGTGGCAGCACACAAATGCAATCCACTCGGGACTCCAGTCCAGTTCCTCATCAAGCTCTGAAAACCAATGGCGATGAACGCCAGTGACCACGAACCACACTCCAAGCTCCTGCCACCAATCTAAGGTTAAGTGCCAGGCTGCGCACAAAAACCACATCCCATGCCCAATACACAGTGCACTACCCAAGTCTCTGCCCTGGCTTCCTCCCAGTCCCAAACTCCTACCCCCGGTCAGAACCCTAGCTGTCCCCTGCCTGCTCATCAGCATGCCTGTGTACCCCTGTAGCATCAGGGTGAAGGCTCCCCTGCGCCAACCAGCCAGCCCTGCTTGGCCGTGAACCTTCTTAAGCTTGGGTCTCTTAACACTTTTGAGAACCTTAGCCCTCCCACAGCTATTAGTTTGTTGACCCCTCTTCCTTCTCTCCCCACCCTAACACTGAGGAATTTGGGCCCTTCTGGACTGCACAGCGCTTTACTCAAGGAACAGGTACCGGGACGCACACGCATTTGCCTCTGCAAAGCCAAAAGCCAGCACCTACAATGCTGGAGCGTTCTCAGCTCCTAGGAGACCAGGGACCCCGGGGGTAGAACAACTTGCCCAAAGCTTCGCAGCAAGTGGAGGGCAGACCACTGCACCACCCCCTTCTTAAACGCCATGCAGGAAACCGCGGGGATATGAGCTCACAAGTCCCACTGCAAAAAGAAGCCGACCAACCTGAGGCTCCACGAGGCGTCTGCGAAGAGGATCCACGGATCTGCGACCGGAGACTACGGACCCGTCTCCCTCCCAGGGCGAGACTCCCAAGTGCCACCTAGAAAGCGCAGAACAAGATCGGCCGCCGTGAGGTGAGAAAGGGCGCGGGGGACACCTTCGAACACAGCTGGAACCACCAGAAAATGACTCCAGGCTCTCCCCCGCCCACGGCGCGGACCGAGAAACTGAGGCCCGCCTTTCCGAAGGGCAACAGGGACCCAGTCCGAGGGCTCCGAGCGCCTCTCCGCTGACAGGAAGTTGGGAAGGACGGAGGGGCGGGGCCCCCGCCGGGCACTCGGGTTCCCGCCGCCCCACTGACCCTCCGTCCAAAGTCTGCGACACCCGCTCCAGCAGGGGCTAAATTCCTAGCCTAACCACTTCGCGCAGCCACGCCCCCAGCGTGCGCGTGGCCGCCCCATACGTCCCCGCGCCGATACCCGGCGCGTCCCACACTAGTCTCCCTGTAGGGCTGCGCCTGCGCTGTGAGCCTTGAGGCCCACAGCTGCGCAGGCGCTCTCAGGCCCTGCCAGCGCGGCAGTGAGGCGCGGGGGGTGATGGGAGCGCGCTCAGCCCCGCGACGCCGCGCCAAGTGCTTGGAGCAGTCCAGGCTGCGCGGGCAGGCGTGGGGTGGCCAGGGCCGGCGGTGTTCAGCGGGCCCGCGCGAAACGCACGGGGGCTGAGGAATGGATAGCAGGAGGGAGGGACGGGGCACCCAACTGGCTCTCCCAAGGATGTTGGAGCCGTTGCCACTGCCCTCAAATCAGCTGGGCCCTGGGGCGCTACCGAACGTCTGGAGGGTTGCTGGGAACAGAGCCCACCAGGGAGGGTTTGGCCATAGAGGGCCTTCGGCGCTTTGGTGGAAAGTGTCTCTCACCACCCAGCGCCCCATGCTTGAAAGTGGGGCCTGGTTCTGCCTACGTTCTGTGCGGGAGCCAGAGGGCAAGGCTGGGCTGGCCGTGAGGACGCCCCACCTGGGTGCCTAGAGGCTGGTAAACCGGGGCCTGTAGGTTTTCTAGGGGGTGTGTTTGTGCTGCCCTACCCGGGTGGAGGCTAGACTGAGAGGACAATGAGGGCAGGCTGCCAAGGCCAAGTTTGCTCCCCAGGAGTGACATGCTCATTCAGCACCCAGAGACTTTGGGAAAGTGAGCAGAGCATGAGGTTGGGTGCTCCTCATGTGCACCATCCCACGCTTCCTCTTCCAGTGCTTACGGTGCCTAGACAAGAGGTGGGAGAGGGTATCTGCCCCTCGGATACCTAATGCCCTGTGAGCCAAGGACCTGGATGCAGGCCAGGAGTTATTGGAGCCATCAGCAGCCGAATCCCCTGGAAAGAGATGTTTCTCAAGGCGAACACATGCCTAAGAGACCAGCTCCCTTTCTGCCCTGGTCTAGTGACTCCTTTCATGAAACTATCTCTGAAATGTTATCTGCATTTACACCCAAACTCACTCTCTTTGATCTTTGAAACGCGAATCAAAGATCACATTGTACCTTTACTTGGGTCTGTGGGGCTTCCAGCCACCTCGGCCAAAAATAATAAAAGTGGCACCCAGCCAGGAAACGCCTCCTTGAAGTGTGAATGAAACTTGTATTTTTCGGTTGTATCTTTCCTAATTGACCTGATAATTTAAACTTCCTGCCTCAAAGGAGAGGGGGAGTTCCTGACAATTTGGCTTACCTCAGGCACTAGGCAGCTAAGGCCAACTCCAGGCTGGTCAGCAGAGAGCAGGCAGTATGCTCGTGTCAAAAACTAATCCAACTGGGCCAGGCCATCAGAAACCACTTTTTTTTGGTTCCAATTGCTTTTTTTTTATTCAGGCCATGTTCTATGTATATATTTTTAAAATTGTAATAAAATATACATGTCATAAAATTTACCCTTTTAAAACCATTTCTAGATGTACAATTTGGTGGCATTAAGTATATTTACGCTGTGTGCAACCTTCACCACCACCCATCTCCAGAACTTTTGCATCACCCCAAACAGAAACTGTACCCATTAAACACTAGCTCCCCACCACTACCCCTGCCCCAGCCTCTGGTAACCTCTATTCCACTTTGTCTATGTTAATTTGCTTATTCTAGGTACCTCATAAGTGGAACCATACATTATCATTTCATTTAGAATGTTTAAGACGTTCATGTCGTAGCACCTGTCAGAATTTTTGTTCCTTTTTAAGGCTCAGTAATATCCAATAATATGTACACATAACATTTTGTTTACCCATTCAACTGTTGATGGCCACTTGGGTTGCTTCAGTCTTTAGGCTTTTGTGACTAATACTGCTATTAACATGGGTGTACAAGTATCTATTAGAGTCCTGCTTTCAGTTCTTTAGCTATATATCTAGGAGTGGAATGGCTGAATCATGGTAATCCTATGTTTAACTTTTTTAAGAAACTGCCAAACTTTTCCAGAGCATCTGCATTATCTTATGTTCCTACCAGCAATGCACAAGTTTTCCAATTTTTCCACATCCTCACAAACACTTATTCTTTTCTGGGTTTGTTTGTTTGTTGTTGTTCAAAAATAGCCATCCTAATGGGTATGAAGTGGTATCACATGGTTTTAATTTTAGTGACTAGTGACTCCCAGCA